TGGGCAGGAGCCAGTTCAATTAGGAAATTTATTGATTGAGCCGCGAGTCTCTGCTCCACCAACGGCGCACGCCCCTCCCCCATAGCCCCCGGTTCGAGACTCTTCTACTTCCGGTTCCGCGTGGCTCTTCCGGTGCACTCTGCGCCTGCGCGAGCCGTTGCTAGGGATGCGGTTCCGGTGTTGCTAGGGACGCAGTTCGATTGTTGCTAGGGGCGGTGTTCGCGTGTTGCTCGGGACGCTGTTCAGTTGTTGCTCGGCAGTCTTGTTCCCACCTTGTGATCGGAGAGCTGCAGATTCCCGTCTCGGCGGCGCTTTCGTGTGTAGGTTCCCCGACCTATTGTACACCTTTTAACTTTTTACCTATATTTTCTATTCTACAGTTAGGCCTTTTTACATATATATTGTGTTAATAAGCTAAAGCAATCCTAAGGTTAGTGTTCTACACATCTGGCAAGATAAGATAACATCCTGCTGTGAGCTTCTACCTTGACTTGTTTCGCTTCAGCAGGTTCTTAGTTACCTTTTGGATCTTACTTTGTTTGCCCGGCTGGCGCATCCCTAAATTCCTTTCTTGGGGCCCATTCCTCTTATCACTTTCTTCCTGGCCCTGGTTAGTATCTCCTCTCTTTGAAGTGTGCGTGTCAGTGTAGAGCAAGGACAAACAAACAGGCGACGCCAGCTGCACCAGCTGCTTAGTAAGAAACTCCCAGTCTATCACTGATTAGTCTTTTTTTTAGCTTCTTTGTTTCATCATCATTACTAAGTAAATTCTTTTACTTAGAATATTTCTCTAAAGTTTTCTGAATATATTTGCCCTATACCTTTTACGTATAGTTTTATTCAGGGTTTAATGAACAAACTCATATGCAACCTTTTACAGTGTCTATCACTCTTAAATTTCCCAGAGAATTCCTAGATCCAGAATGATTCTTCATCATTTCTCCACTTATCACATCTTTTGCCATCTCATGATGCCACCATGTTTCTACCTCCCAATTCCCTTCAGCAATACTTAATGCACAGTCTTCACTTACTGCTGCATGTGGGTGTCATCAATTCACTTTCTCTCAAATCTCTAATGAAAATAATAAAGGACATTACAGTTAACCCTAGACCCTGAAGTGCCTCACTAGGCAACTTCTCCTGCTTATATTTAGCAAATTAAGCTCATTGTTATTCTAGTCCAGGGTCAGTTCAGGTAACAAGTCAGACCCAAACTCAGAGGAAATTATTCCCCATCCAGATCTACAGTCAAATCTACACTTCTTAAGAGTGCTGAAAACCAACTACCTACACATAAACCCATTCAACCCTGTATTTATTTACATCCCTCTCAAATTTCCATATTTGGAATATTCCATATTCCAATCAAAGACTATTCCATAGGCATTGATTCTCATGGAGATATAGCATCAGGCAAACTATAATCCAGCTGTATCCAAACCCTCTTTCCTTCCCCAGTGATTACTGTTAAGCAGGCAGCAAACACATATGTTACAAGATGCAGAAAGGGTCTCATGGTTGCAAATTTTCTTCACAGCCCTGATGAATTAACTTATTTGCCACTCAATATGCCAAAGTTATTTCCAGAGGTAGTAAAACATGGGCAGTACCCACTAGCTACCCATTAGAGAATTGAGCTCAGAAGCCTTGAATAAGAAAGCAAAGTTAAATGAAGCAAACTCATAAGCAGATTTAAATTCAGAAGAGAAGAAATTACAATCCTTAGAAGCTCTGTAAAGTTATTCAAGTATCCTGTAATCAAAGTCCAATACATCCTGTAAAGAGGAGCAAGGAAGCAGTAAGAAATTTATGTGGCCAAACCAGAGTGCTGATCCTGCTCCTGAAAACATCTCCTAAAAACAGGGCAGGCCTTGGTTGCTAATGTTAGAGATCAACAAAGCAATGATAGCTTTGATGAACCAGCACAGCCTTCAGTGTCGGCCTGGCAGGAATAACCTTAGACAGCTCCTGAATTCATTGAAAGCCATAAAAAACCCCTGATTCTCTTTGAGAAAGTCCTTTTCTTCTGGAAGTTATGAGTGGAAATATTCCTGTATACATGACAAGTGTTGACCACAAAATTCTGGGCACTTCCACACTATTTGGAGCATGACATTATGGACTGACATATGACAGGTTTTTAACGATAAACTGAAAAATGGAATTCAGATCTCTCATGGCTTCTCTGACTCCTTTCTCATAAAAGACTTGAGGGGAAAAATCCCGTATAGTTATTTTTTTCTTGCACAGGAAAACATCTGTGTGATCTGGAGAGTTAAAGGATGATTTGATGCTTTGGGGAGGGAGCAGAGATTGCAGAAATCAGTGTCAAGCAAGGCTCAGGGAGCTGCCTAAGGCAGCACAGGGGATGAATTACCAATTGGGGAACATCCAAACACTTTTCTCTCCTGAAAACCGATCTCAGCCCCAAGGGATGCAGAGAGCACTTACAGTAACATGCAGCTTTCGGAGCAGTTCAGGTTGCTCAGGGCTGAGCTCTGGTGAAGAGTGTCACCAGGAAAATGCCTCCAATAGGCAGGGAAGACACAAACCCAAGGATTGTTCAGGCTGCGGAATGCTGCCACAGGAGTCAGTCATGCAGAGCTAATAGATCAGCTGCTGTTGCCTTGCTTACCCCAACACTCAGCTGAGGTTACAGTTTCTCACTCTTTTCCTTTTCTTTTTTTTGAAGAGATAGTTATCGAGTCACAGGAGCCCTGAATTGTCATGCAACATTTACAACAGTCAAAATGACATGAAATGGTTCCAGCTACATCTGGGATAATCAGATACCTCTTTCCAAATCAAAGCATCATTGTTTTCTTTAACACGTCCTACATCCAGGCAACCCACAACTTCCTTAAGCTCTGTCTTCAGGAACAGTTTATTGCAAATGATTTATTGTAATCCTGGTTTATTGGCAACCTTCCCTGACTGTAATTTCTTCTCTTAAAAAAAAATTTGTCAGTACTTGGTCTGATTTTTCTGTACTAGAATCAGCATTAACAACGCAAAGTGGCTTGGAGATCGTTATTAATTTGCTTTTTTGGTTTGCTATAAATTCTTTCTACAAAATAAAGCGTCTCTAAAGGGACATTTTAAAAAGAAAAAAAAAAAGAGATTTCAAGAGCAGAAACAGCAAAGATTTTTCAGTGTGTTGAATTTGCAGTTTCTACTGCTCTGTATTCATAGCCTGCTGTGAGACATCTCAGTGAGAGTCTCAGCAAATGGCTTTGGAGTGAGAAGTTTGGACTCCAAGGAGAAAAAATGAAAGTCAGCAGTCCATGGCCAGAGGTTTTTCCTCTCACAGCATGCCATTTCCAGGATAAGGATAACCTGGAGAGGCAATTATTACCAAACTGCTAAGAAATGGTGTCAATCTTAATGTGAAAACTAACAAAGCATTGGGATTGTATCCTTGGGATTTATATCTATAGGAAAGATCCTCTGAGGTGGATTCTTTACAAAGGCATTAAATACCCATCAGTGAATACAGATTATCAACCTAATGTTTTACTACGAAGTTGCTTCTTGTTTAATAGTCAGTAAAAAAATACAACACTTTCCCTAGGCGGGGGGGGAAACTTTTATAGTATAAAATGGCAATAAGACTCCTCCTTTCCTACCAACCTCCATGAGTCACCAAAGTGCAACTCCTCAGCAGATCCTGGCAAAGGTCTTGGAGGGGAGGGACAAAAACAGTTCGGGTTTGGTGAACCTTTGGCACTGACTATCCAAATAACCATGAGATACTCACTTTGCTTTCAGAACTGGTTGCCTTCAGTGAGCAGAGCCAGAACTGTAGAACAAAACCTTTAAATAATGCTTCTTTTTCCTGGAATCACAGGACGGTTTGGGTTGGAAGGGACCTTAAAGAGCATCTAGTTCCAACCCTCTGCCGTGGGCAGGGACACCTACTCTGTCACAGATGCTAATGGTAAACATAATAAGCCCAGAAAAGCTTCAGGCATTATTGTACTCTGCAATCAGAGCTGTTTGACTTACCTGTTTTCTTATTCTCATTAAGCTGTTTTTCTCCAAAACAAACTCCTCCTTTTCCTTTATTTGTGACCATTTGTCAAATGCCTCTCACAGTGCAGAAACCATCAGGCAAGAATCCTACACCTGGGCAAAAGCTCTTCAGAAAATTCTCATGCCCAAGACCACAAATTAGGCAGCTGGGCTGAAAAATTGCAGTATAAAAGTGGTCAGAGACAGCTTTGTATAACCTGAAGATGAGTGGGAAACCAGCATTGAGAGAGCAGAAAGATTGGAACATTTACAGATTGCAAATAGACACACACATATTTCCTAGCTGTCAGTTTTCCCACCTGCTTCTTTCAAGATCAGAGGTTTATCTCCTCATCAGCCTCCAGTTAAGCTACTGGGAGAAGAGTCTGTGCCTGAGACATTTCTGAACTTTATCTAACATCATCTTTTTTTCGTGATACACTACTATGGATCTCATCCTTGACTTCCAAGCCCCATTGTGCTTTATCCCCCCAGGCAGTGCAGTATTACTCATCATAAATAGAAATTTCTCTTTGAACTATAAAGGCAAAAAAAAGGGTTTCCACATTTTTTTAGGTGATATATCTTTGTTAACCAAACCTAATAAAGCCCTTAGTTATTTACCTAACAGCTATTTCAACACGTGGCAAAGACTTGGAACATTAACTCTTGAAGTAATGTGAATTTTTTTCTCCCAGACTTATACACTTCATTGGAATTGCATCTACACAACATTTCTTCAAGAGCTAACCTAAATATTCACTTATATATCAGGAATTCTTCAGGATTTTAACCCTGCCTAGTCACATGCACCCAACAAGGTGTTTGTTTTACACTTGAAGGTTTACAGATATTTATTGTAATTTGATTTTGTCACCACAGGATTTCTGCCTGACGTGGATTTGGTAATGGTTTCGCTACTCCAAGATCAATCCAATATTAAGTTTTCTTCTTCGGACACACTGGAAAGGGACCAACAAGACCTCATGAAGACACAGGGGGATTCAATATCCCCAGTTCAGCCAAGTGTGAGTAATCTGGCCCAGGCCTGTTCTCTTCCTTCAGAGGCACAAGTTCAGGTACAATGTTCAGCTATTGCTGTACTAAATCACACCAAGCCTAGAGGTAGCAGAGCAAACATGGGAAATTTTATTCTTGAAGAGTAGAGACCTTTGTTACCCTTCTGAGCTTATCTTAATTTTCTCATTCAACTCCTTACAAACCCTATTAGGTTAAAAAACAAACCAGGTGATCCATCCAGCTAATAATCCAGGAAAAAATACTGTATTTTATGGTCCTAATATAAATAAATAAAAGGCAGAGAGACAGAGTCTTCTCCCTGCCAGTAAAAGATCCTTTCAAGTACTTCAAAACTCCTTGAGTTTGTTTTTTGGTTGGTTTTTTTTAAATAAAATGACCTCTCTCCTGAGGCCTGTGTATTCATCATGTTTCCTTTCATAACAGAAGTTCAGCTGAGAGTTGTGTTTTTCATCAGCCAACAGCAAAATAGCCATTGTCATCCTTTTATTATGAAAATTCCAGGTGGAGAATTGGCAGCTCTGCCCTTCATACAGATCTATGGGACTAAATATAAGGAGGTTTTTCTAATTCCTATTTAACAAAAAGATATAATCAACACAGGTATTAGAACTATAGGACAGTGAGGAGGAAGAACTAAGCAGTTACAAACTAAGCAAGTTTGTGTTCATGGGAGAAGCCAAAAGTGCCACAAGGTCAGATTTGCTTTCTGCAGGAATCCAGGACAGAACAAAGCATTGATAGTTTTAACACAGAGAACCAGGTGTGAATGACTGGGAAAACTGTGCCATGTTCCTCTGCAGAAAACTCTGGATTTATGCTGACTTCCCTTCTGGGACTCCTCAAAGTCTGGTTCCTCCATGAAGGCAACAGATTCCTTTAGCTGTTCTTCTGAAATACTGAAAAACCAACCCAGATTTGGAAGGGGATGGAGGAAAAGGACAACTTGCTAATCTGGTCTGATTTTTTGTGCAACTCAAAACATTCCATTTCCCCCTTCTCTGGACACAACAACCTGCCCTTGACTGACGCATCCAAAACATTCCATTTCCCCCTTCCCTGGGCACAACAACCTGCCCTTGACTGACGCATGTCTTCTCAAAGGCATCCAAGGAGTTACTCATCCTTGATGTCAGGGAAAACATGCATATTTTCAGTGTCAGGATCCAGACACCAGTTCTTAAACCTTTCTCCTCTAGATTAAAGAGCACTTCAGTAGCTGTTATTTTCTTTTTGCTAAAGTGCAAAAGGGAAGGGAGGAGATGAGACAGAAAGGTTAAAACGTCTGCCCAGAGCCTACCTGTCTCTCTGAATGAGTGTGGCCACCTTAATGAAGGGAAATGATGTAACCACCAACATATCTGGCAGCAAGTAACACCATCAGAGAATGAGATCAAGCTTATTTGACTAAACTTGCATACAAGACTCACACTTATCACATTCCTGTCATTTAATCTTTCATCACTTGATCATACAGCAGCTTTTCCCTGAAATTTTCAGACCAACCAGTCAATATTTACCTAAGACACTTTGTTTTTCAAGGGCAGCTCAGTCTTCTCATAGAATCCCAGAATGGTTTGAGTTGGAAAGGACCTTAAAGATCAACTAGTTCTGAGCCCCTGCCATGGGCAGAGATGCCACCCACTAGACCAGGCTTTTCCAAGCCTAATCCAACCTGGCCTTGCTTTTATTAACTAATTTCTGAACAGTTTTGGATACCAAGTAACCAGAAAACCTTTATCTTGCAGGGCTTCTCCACATGAGGATGACTAGAACTAGTGATTTTATACTTATCATCAATAATGTGGCTTTGATGTCATTAAAATACAAGTGTTTTTCATAAATATATAAGGAAAATGATCAAATATTTGCTCATATTAAACCTAAATAAACAAATGCCAATGTTTCCTTGCAGGATAATCCGAGTTACAACTGCCAACCATATGAGTCAGACGTCAGGACAGAAAGAAAGAGCTCAGAGTCTTCTCACAGCCCCAGCCCTGCTTCCCCAGGACAGGATCAAATTCATGGGATATACCCTATAAGCCAAGGAATTCACTGTGGCAAGAACAAATTCAAACCATCCTTCGGTACAGAGAAATTCAGGCGGTACAGTTACGAGGAAAGTCCTGTAGGAAACTACGACAGGTTCCTCAAGAGCAGCAGGAACCCCTTCCACCCCTACAAGAGGCAGATCAGTGAGGATGTCTTCCAGGAAGCACATCAAGCCCTTCCACCAGAAGCTTCACCCTTCAAAAATCATAGAAGCATCGACGGTTTTGAGGATCTACCAGGATCTACAGGTCCTGATGAGTCAGAGTCATTTCCTACGCACATTCCCAACATCTCCACAGAACAACCATGGTGTAACAGCCTCCAGTACAGCACCACGGGTCAGGATCACAGCTCACAAGTCATGGTCAGTACTTTTTATGATTCTTTTTCCTGTTTTCAGTGACAAAAATGTACTTCTGGAATTATTTTCTTATCCCTTAATGTTACTAGGTGAACGTTTAGTCTCTTGTCACGTTGCAGGATAGAGCTCAGGACAGACATATTTAGACATATTCCTATTTATTTGACTGAGTTCTCTATTTTAAGGCCTTTCCCTGCTGGAAAGCAATACTCAAAGATGCACTAGGACAAAAGATTTTTCCATTGGATACGATATTTGAATGCTAAATATCCAAGTTCTTCCTGACAACAGGTTTTATATCAGTAGTTGTCATCAGTATTTTCAAGAGGCGAAAGTTCACAAAACAGTATTTTCCAAGCATGAGGACATGTGTATCAGACTTGTCCCAACACCTCAGCTGACCTGCACTTTTACATCAGTACTACCATTGGAATGTGCTGCCCAGGGAGGTGGTGGATTCACCATCCCTGAAGGTTTTCAAGATGAAACTAGATGTGGCACTTAGTGTCATGGTCTAGTAACCATGGTAGGGTTGGACTTGATGGTCTTGGAGGTCTTTTCCAACCCAGTTGATTCTATGATTCTATACCAAAAATTAGGTATCAGATCTGGTTTTGGGATGAGTATATAAAGTTATCCGAGATAATTCTCATACTGGATAGAGGTGGATGTCTATTTAGGGCAGCAGAGATCCCTGAAAAGCAAATTAAATTACCCTCCAGTATCTCCACAAGGTATCTCTGCTGTGATCCAGGGTGTAAAGTCTATTTTCATCATCTACTGCAGCCAAAAACAAGGACTCCACCTGCCAGGAGAGGGCCCTAAACTGGTTCTAAATGGCTGTGAGATGAATTCAAGGGCTACCAAAAGAAAGAAGGGTTAAAAACCAAATAAATCTTAATTGGATTAAGACTAGGGAATGGAGAGATGTTGTCAGGGAACATACCTGGGGATTGAAACCATTCAGGTTAAGGAGGAAATTGATCTAAATCTCTTATTTCCTGGATCAACACTCATCTAGGTCAGAGGAGTTTAATGCAAAACCTATGAGCAGCTGATGAAAAAATTCCCATTGTCTTCCCAAATCCCTTGGCTGCAAGATGTAAAGGTAGCACTGCCAGAAGTCATTTGGCTACTCAGGCACAGAGGGACTGCTTGTTAGAGACTCCTCTGGTTCTGTCAGCACCCAAGTTTGAACTCTTAAATCACACACATACAACTGGCAAGTTGGAATTTCTGGAAAACTTCATCTGATGGTCACCAAAATTACATGGACATTGAACACTGGATGTGCCATTTGCTTGGAGCCAAGGGAATCATATCAAGTCTAACTTGTGCTCCTACTAATGTACCATTAAAAAAAATCCTCTAAATATAAAAATATTTTGTAGATGCACTAAATATTACATATAGATATTACTATTTATTAAACATACAAAAATACCATAGAAGCTCCATAAAACCTGGTCATTATGGCCTTGCTTTGAAGCAGAAGTGCCACTAGTTTTGTCAAATAAGAAGTTTATTATATTCCTACTTATTTTCTGCATCTTGATTGAATACAGTAGTCAGCCCAGTCTGATTCTTTGCCACCTTTTCCCTCTTCACTGTAGGCCTCACCCTCTAGCTAATGCCAAAACTCCAGTGTCAGCTGGAGCTACTGACAGTCTGCAAGATAAAAATCAAGGAGGATGAAAAATGAGAGATACATGTGCTCAGTCAGGAATAAGAGCTGCAGTCTGTGCTTTGTGTATGCAGGAGAAAAAGGATAAACAGACTGACATTTTCTGAATTGTTCTTTGCATGGGATGTGGCCTGGAATTTCCTTTTTTAAAGTTGTAAATATACAAGAGCAGGAATTGGTTGAGGTCTTCAGAGAATGGTTTGAGTTGGAAAGGACCTTAAAACTCATCTCATTCCACTCCCTGTCATGGGCAGGGACCTTCTACTAGCCCAGGTTGCTCAAAAACCTGTCCAACCTGGCCTGGAACACTCCCAAGGATGGAGCATCCCATTTTGAACTACTAGAATATAAACCAAAATCCATATAACAGAGACTAACCAAACCCCCAAAAGTAGGAAATATAACAAAAAGCAAATCCAAACAGTGACTAACAGAATTCTTCTATCTTAAACTAAGGTGCTTTCTCTAATAACTCTTTCTTTAAATATTTTCCAGCAGGATTCAGACATGAAACTTAGGACATCCCCACTGGAAGGGCAGCCTGGTCTGTATTGCTATCAGCCTCAAGTGCAGCAGATGTATTGCCCCTCACATCCTTTCCATCAGGTCAGTACAAAGTGTGCTCCAAAAATCCCTCTATTTCCTCACACTCTAATGGTGCAATAGTTATGTATTAACACAAAAGAGAGACGAAACCTGTGAAATTTGTGTTTCCAGGGCCATATCTATATATTTTGCTTATGACAGTAAGATCTCAATGAGCCACAGCTAAATGCATTTTGAAATGGTCATCCAGAAAAAGAAAGGGGGGGAAATAGACCCAAAACTTGTTAAAAAAAAAAAAAAAGGAATCTTGGTACTGCATATTTATATTTTCACCATTATGCTTGAGAAAAGTTGCTTTGAAGCCAGATAAATTATTAACATAACTCTTGGCATTTCAGGATCTCAGGGAATTAACTGTGCTTGAACTCCAGAATAAAACCCTAAGTACACATGCACTTAAAATTCAACTCAAACATAGGAAAACATTCGAAAGTAAAATCTGAACAGCAAAATGATGTTCACTTTCTTTGTGCTTGATGGCACAAACGACTCTTTCACAATCTTTTGCCTTTTACATCATCCCCAGTGAAAGATTATTCAGCTGTAGCATAATTGGCAATAATGCTGATGATGCAGGAGAATGTGCAATATTAAGGTTGTTCTTCTGCAATGCAACTCTATCATTAACACTAAAAATAATTTCCTTTGGATATAAATGCTGGTGCTGTTCAAGGCTTTGAACTTTTCCTCTTTCATGCTCAATTGGCTGCAACATATAAAATATTCAGGAAGATGTTTGAGATTAAAAAAACCATGCTCAAAACATCCTATTTCAAACAAACAAATAAACAAACACCCAAATTTATTTAAGGTCAAATTAAGGCAATGAGGATTTTTCAGAGGTACAGGCAGAAATCCACATACAAAAATAACCCAACTACCAAAACCTCCAACCAGTAGAGTCAAATTAAACTTTCAGGAAACTCATATGGATAAAATATTTGAAGATAAAAGCTCACACTTGATTTACATCTCCTTTGATCCCAGAGACCAATGACAGATATTGTAGCATCAGCTGTACCATCTCAGCCAACTTGCTCAAGAAGTATAAAAACTGTGACTGACAGAGCAGTGATTTAATACTGGGCAAAGAAAACAAACCCCAAGTCACTGAATGATATTTCATTGAGGTTGTTAGTTCAGATGATGTTACATGTCTGAGTCACCGGAACAGTAACCCGTTTGTTATCAGGATTTAGACTCTGATGAGCAAATAGAAAGGTTCTTTTTGGGATAACTTTCTTTAAGAACAAATTTCACAGATGCTGGAGGACCATAAAGAACAAGCATAGCCACAGGTTGGAATTTTGTGATCACTGATAAAATTAAATCATCTGTTGCAGATGATTTCTTAGAGTTTTTTAAAACATTAGCAAGAAAGAATTGAGGGAATGGAATACCTCAGCAGTGTGTTTTCATCTCTTCAAGGGTGCATTTTTACATGCTTCAAAACCTCCACCTGCCTACTGAGGCTTAAAGAAAGTTATCACAGTATTAGTGTGTGACCCTTGTAAAGCCTGAGAGGTGTCCAGATGCCAAAGAGATGTGAGAGGGCACAGGTAACAGATAGGGACAGTTCTACACTGAGTCAGGAAATATAGCTAGAGAAAAGCCACTCCTGAGCTGGGCAGCAGGTTGAAGGAGACGATTCTGCCCCTCTGATCTGCTCAGTCGAGGCCTGACCTTCAGTGCTGCCTCCAGCTCTGGGGTCCAAGCACTGCAAGGACATTGACCTGTTGGAGCAAGTCCAGAGGAGGCCACTGAGTTGATTAGAGGGATGGGACATCTCTCCTGTGAGGAAAGGCTTAGGGAATTGGGTTTGTTCAGCCTGGAAAAAAGAAGTCATCAGGGTGACCTAATTGCAGCCTTCCAGTGCCCGAAGGGAGCCCAAGAGGAAGGTGGAAAGAGAATTCACAAGAACTTGCAGTGACAGGACAAGGAGGAAGTCCAGAGGAGGCCACTGAGTTGATTAGAGGGATGGGACATCTCTCCTGTGAGGAAAGGCTTAGGGAATTGGGTTTGTTCAGCCTGGAAAAAAGAAGTCATCAGGGTGACCTAATTGCAGCCTTCCAGTGCCCGAAGGGAGCCCAAGAGGAAGGTGGAAAGAGAATTCACAAGAACTTGCAGTGACAGGACAAGGAGGAATGGATTCAAACTGACCTGACAGAGGTTTAGATGAGATATAAGGAAGAAATTCTTTATTGTGAGGGTGGTGAGGCACTGACACAGGTCACCCAGAGAAGCTGTGGCTGCTCCATCCCTGGAAGTGTTCCAGGCCAGGCTGGGTAGGGCTTGGAGCAATCTGGGCTGGTAGAAGATGTCCCTGCTCATCACAGGAGGCTGGAACTAGATGATTTTTATGGACTCTTCCAACCCAGGCCCCTATGATTCTATGAATAACCTCACTCCTGTTTTTTTCCTTTCACCTATCACACTAACATTCCACTAGCCAGAATATGCTGAACAATTTCCCCCCCCCCATTATGTTGCAAAAAGGCAACTACCTTTAAATTCTTATCACCAGCACCATAATTAATTTACTTGTGTTTTTTCAGTAACTTTTAAGTCAATACAAGTGATAAAAGATAGCAATAAAATTAAAGTAGAATAAATAAAAAGGTGATATTATGCTACCCTACTAATTTACAAATTGATGCTAGTAATTTTCTTTTAGAACAAAAGGGTCTCAGATGAAAGATTAACTTGCTGCAAATATAAACTATTCCCCACTGGGACTGCAGGAGAGACCTTGTGGATATACCACAGCACCATATAAATGTCATTTTTATGTGCAGAAACTCCACTTAACTTGTTAATTCATTGAGTTTTTTCTAGTTCTTTATAATTTCTGACACAGCCACCTTCCCCCTGTCCCTGCTGGTTTGATACCAGTGCTATCTCTATACATTGGCACTAACCACATCCAAAAAACCCTCCAAAATTAAAGCAGAAATGCACCTCCTTGGAACTGCCAGGCAAGACACAACAGGCACTAAGAGGAAAGTCTTCCATCCACCTGCAAACTGGCACTGTGACGGATCTCTTATGTGCAGCAGGTTTCTGTTAGACTTTAATACTTGTGCTCCTTAATGTTACTAGAGCAAAAGTCTGGAAATATCTTGTCCTACTCAGAGATAAAAAAAAACAATAGGTATAAACAGCCAAAGTCCTAATAAGTAGAATTGCTGTCCATGTGCCATAATGATATACTGGAAGATGAGAAAACATGGGCTACAAGACTGAGAAGTGGAGTAACATCTTGTGCATGAAGCAGCTCTATTATTAATGCTTTACATTGCAAATTGGAATGGAGCAGTGCAAGTTAATCCCTAGGAAGTTCCACTCCAGAGAACGGGCCCTTTCGCCTGGAGTGAAGGATGTTCTGACTCCACCTCAGTGTTCATTAGAGGAGGACAGAGATCAGCCCCTTCGTTAATTCTGTCCAAATGATAAAACAGCCTCACCTTCCCCTTTGCTGGACACAACACAAATGATGACTCAGAAGAAAAATGACTTCATACTGACCCAAATGAAGGAGCAGACACTGACTGGAGTCACCTACCCACCCACCATAAAACAGGGACACCTTTCATGCCAGTTGTGTGGCTGTAAAACCAGCTCCAGCCTGTCATACCAGACCATTCCTCAGCCCCTCTTCCCTCAAAAAGCAACAATGAAACCAATAAAACAGAAATAAAGGCACCCAGGTATTGCCTTTGGTGATGACATCAAAACCAGTCCCATTTTAGGTTTTTTTCCCCCCTTCAAAGAGCCACTAAAACCAACCAAAAATCAGAATTATTGTAGGAATTGCCTAGTTTTCTACTCTGGTGAAAAATGTATACCCAATCACAAAGCAGAGAGTATAGAACTGCACATGGAAATTAGTTCACAGCTGCTTTGGAGACTTTAGTTTTACCTAATATTTAAATTTAACAAGACAGGACATAATTAACTACATATATTTCATTTCTTTTGCCATGCAAACAATCGAGTGTGTTCAGTCTGGTTTTCCACGTTCTGTTTCAGGCAGTTAGTTCAGTGTTAGAAAGACAAAAGCAAATGGGCAAAAGAACTCCAGCAACAAGAATAAAATAACAGAGAAACTGAAATAAATTGTTCAGAATCCAGAATAAAGAAACAAACTAGGAATATTTTGCAAGCACATGATAAACTAAGAACTATTTGCAAGCACAAAACCCCTGACAGGCATTTTAAGGGGACAAAAACCAAAAGCAATTGCAGCTATTGATGCAAAAATAAGGATTACAATAAGGAGACATATAAACTAATTACCAAGGGAATTTTTCCAACAAATCTCAGGAGCTACATTAGAATTTTTCAGAGGAACCACACAAACCTCGTGACACAGAACTGCCAGAGCTGAGCAGGAAAACACCAGAATAGGACTCAGCAGCCTTTGAGTATGAGGGAAGGCATGCAGGTCGATTTTTAATAGCATATGACATGATTCCTAATGTTGGCCATGCCCTCACTCTGGCATCTGGAGAGATTCCTTCGAAGAAGCAGCAATTCCTCTCCCAGAGAGCTTTGAGTTCATCAGGAGCTTTTGCCTTCCGGAGAACCAACTGATGCTATCTGACCTAAGCAGAGTAGTGTTCCTTTGTTCTTGAAAGTTTCTTGCCAGCAGATTTAAACTCCCATTTGGAAAAGAAAAATATGGAATATTTGGCAAAGAAAAAAAGACCAACTGCTGTGTTAAAAATTTGAGCAAATCTACAGAAACTCTGGTGCAGCCCAAGCTGTGTGTGGGGATTACCTCCACTCTCTCACCTACTTTTTTGGCATTGGGATAATTTTATCCTAGTGATTACATGATGGTCCTCCCTTCTCTTTAGTGTGTCTTGGGAGCTGGAGAGCCTTAGACATCTCCTGAAGAGATAGGTCAATGTTGCAGTCTCAAGTAGCTTCTGCTGCTGGTCCCAGGGGTGGGGTGAAGGTGACTTATTTGATTTTAGGGGTCTTGGCTATTCTTTTCAGCTTTCTGACAGATAAAAATGGAAGAAAAAGAGTCACTTGAGGTGGTGGTTAACAGCATATAAACTCCTGGTCTCCTCCTGTTTCTTGGCAGTCACTATGAGGAAACAGACAGGGAGTAGCCCAACAACTTCAGCATGAGAAACCACCTCAGAAACGTCTCAAATGCCACTCTCCTGACCCCTGCAATGACGTTACTAACTTATTCCATAACAGCACATTAATTTTATATATATTCTGATGCATCCACTAATGTTTTTGTTGTTGTTTGTTGAGGGGCTTTCCTGCCTTGTGTGATAAATGCAATTTTAACAGAGGCATTGGGATGCTGTTTTCCCTTGGGAGTAGAAATTAGACACTTGGGATTTTTGTGTTAGTGTAGCACTCTCCACCCCCCCCAAAAAAAGAAAAGAAAACAACAAAAAATAGCACACAAAACCAAACAAAGGTCAGTCAAAACTTTCCTGTTTCTTCCAGCAGCTTTACCTAATGAGCTTATTTTTCTACGGTGCATGTTGTTTGAGGTATTTTATTCTGGTGGTTTTGGGGTTTTTTATGTAAATAAGATTACACCATTAATTTATTTGTCTGCATGTTCAGAGGAGGCTGAGATACTTCAGCTGCAAGAGAGTTGGCTGAAGGGAGATATGCTTTAGGTCTATAAAATTGGGGCAATCGATACGGTAAAGTTGCTCCCATTTTTTTTCAAGAACTTGGTAGCACAGCAGGCAATGAAGACACAGAACATCCTCAGAACTAAATAGTTTAATACTCTTATTAAGAGATATTTTGGAAGCTTATTGCTAAGCCAAATAACATCTCTTTTGTCCCCTCAGTACCCTTCAGGAGGCAGCTACCCTGTGACGTACATCACTTCTTCCCACTACCCTTACCAACGAATTGCTCCTCAAAGCACTCAAGAATCCCAGCAGCCTCTGTTTCCCAAACCCATCTACTCCTACAGGTAATACAATCTTTTTTTCAAGCCCTAACATTACAGGAAACACACTGTTTACCCATGGCCTCTTTCCAGCATCGTTTGCAATAACATGCTTACTCTTATTTACCTTGTTCCTGGTGTGTTCTGTCCTGTTCCTGTGAATCACAAGGTGTTCCAGACTCTGGGGCCAAGGCAGAGAGAAATGAAATGTTGTAAAGTGTAGGAACAGTCTTGATCACCCCCAAAAAAAAAGCTCCTCTAATACAAAATTTTAGCACGAGATGAAATAGCTTTGTTGTCTTTACCAGCACCTGTGTTAAAGCTAATGGTTTATCCCATTTACTAGAGCAAGGAATGCCTAGAAAACATATCAGATATGTCACTCACCACACAGGTTTAACCCCCAAATAATCTAACAAATCAAATCAGACAATTAAATTTTAATTATCCTTCTGTCACTCTCAGTTTGATACTTTTTGTGTTCTTTACCCATTGAAACATTCAAACACAACCTTAAATAAGTACACACCAGCAGGATTGAAGGTTTGATTCCACTTCCTATATCACTTTATTTTCAACCCAGGTTGGACCTTCTATATGAGCTTTGAGATTTACCTCTAGCAGTTAAGGAGATTGTTATGGTTAAGGAAACTTCTCAGTCATGGGCAGCTCCAGTGAGCCAACAGGAGCTCTGCTTGATCCCTTACACCCACAATCTGACCAGGGTTCCTTACCTGTTCGACCCCAGGCTTCCCTTAGCAGAGCCTCAGGCATCAAGAGCCACAAAGCAGTTTATTCAGAACTCAATAACAAAACAACAGCCCCAGCTGGATAGCTCCAAGAAATCTCCCAGCTCCAAGATTCTCCCTTCCACCTCCCCGAGGTTTTATACCCTCTTCCTCCCAAGTCCTCTGGTCCTACACCCTTCCAACCCTATCTACATTACCACGGTCACCAGCACACTCATCTTTATCTCCTTAGTTAGCCAAAAGATCAGTAATTCCCAACACCTGTGGTATCTCCCAGCATCCACTCACCTGGCTGGGGCCACCCATGCTCATGCCCTTTTGTTATCTCCAAGGTTGGCAGTTCACAGCCTCTAGTTTCAGGCTCCCCATCCAGAGCTCAATCTACATCTCAATCTGCACCTTGAAAACAAAGCCACCTGGACCAGATGTATTCCTCAACAGTTGTAAACAACTGAGTGGAAACTTTGAGCATCATCGTCTTTGTGCTGTGACAATGAAAGTTGGAGTAAATACACACAATTTGGAAAACAATCTGGGTTTGATTGTGAGTCAAACAGAAGAGGCTAAAATGCTTTTCTTTCTCTCCCTAAAGCATCCTGATCTTCATGGCTCTCAAAAACAGCAAGACAGGGAGTTTGCCAGTCAGTGAGATTTACAATTTCATGACGGAACACTTCCCTTACTTTAAGGTGAGTTCCACAGGGAGGGGGGAAATCTCCCTCTGAGCTTACCTGGCAGCAGAGGGAATAAGGGAGGGGATTCCAGCTGTGAAAAGAAATCTGTTTTTAGTAGACTAATATCCAATCGATATGTTTTATATCCCTTCACAAGCACAAACTACACAGCATTTTATGCCTAGGCAGAAATGTGAACATGCTATGTGGTAATATTTAACATAAAAACAGATGAAGAACTGTTCCAGCTGTGAGTTTGGGTGTATAACAGTGGCTAATCTTCACTAACGACTCGCAAAAAGGATAAATATTTTTAACAACACATTCACTCCTTCCTCTCAGATCTCAAATACAGGCAGAACTGGTCTTGTAGCTACTGGTGTAGCACTTCCAGACTGGTGTGGAAGCAAAGGTTCCAGTTTATCTCACTCCATTCTAGAGCTGGGATATCCTTCTTGGGCAACAGCATCACTCCCATGCCCTGCACAAAGAGAAGTGTAATATGTGATAAATGGCACTAAGCTCATAATTACACAGTGATGCTGGGGAAGGGAAGGGTGTATGGTTTGCAGCAGCACTATTGAAATTTAAATCCATGCTATAAGGGAATGGTTCCTTGCACTTGGAATTCAAGTGGAAAGTGCTCAGTCAGCACATGATCCAAGAGCAAGAGGATTAGTTAAGATTTTTAAAAGAGCTGTAATGGAATCATCAAGTGGTGCTCTCCACAGAGCTTTATTACTGCTGATTCTACAAAAAACCATCTCACTGTAGTCCAGAGCAGGTGACCTCAGCTGCTAGCCAGGCCAAAAAATGAAAATAAAGCAAGTGAGTCTGTCCTGTTTCCGAGTGCAAATAACCCTGCAGCAACTAAACCAAATTTAAAACAGCCACAGCGAGGCAAGGCAAACCCTTAGAATGAGAAAAGAACACTGAGAATAACTAAAATTAAATGTTGTGATACAATTTTGTGATGGATTTTGACACTGACTGTGTGCACACACACAAAAATGTAAGCTTGAATCAAAGAAAAAAAATACACATTAGCATGGAGGAAGAAGTATCAGGATCCATCACACTTCTTATTCCTCCCAAAGGAATCACTAACTACTCCATCATTTGTTACAAGCAAGAGAAGGGAGACCATCAGAAATCACAATTGTTTCATCCCAATGGGATCCACAAGAGTTTCAAGCAGAAAAGTGGGAATATTATTAGTAATTCTTACAGGCATATCCACATTTACTCATCAGACCAAACTGAAGGGAATTCTCTTGTCAACAACACAATCGATTCTAAAATTAATCAGCAGCTTCAAACTAAATGTTGCTGCTGCTGCCAACGTGGACAGAATCCCTGGACTCAGGACTGTGGATCAGGTGTCACCATCCTGGTCCTTCCTGGTTTTTCAGAGCCTCATGTCTTTTTCTTAATTCCTTTAAAAATGGATGAGAAGGAGGTTATTGCTGTCACATGGATTATAGGGACAGAGTGCCTGGCACAGAGGGGACACCTGGAACAATCACTGATTTGTGACAGCTTTGGTTTTGCATTTTCCTTACAAATACAGTCAAATGTTTGGATAGTTCCATCCTGAACATCCTTAAAAAAACTAGAGGGAGAATAAGCAGGGAAATATTACACTTAGAGGCACTCTGCTCTGTCTGTGGTCTTTACAGCAGCCCACAGAATTATTTGGCACAGAGGGGACACCTGGAACAATCACTGATTTGTGACAGCTTTGGTTTTGCATTTTCCTTACAAATACAGTCAAATGTTTGGATAGTTCCATCCTGAACATCCTTAAAAAAACTAGAGGGAGAATAAGCAGGGAAATATTACACTTAGAGGCACTCTGCTCTGTCTGTGGTCTTTACAGCAGCCCACAGAATTATTAGTGTAGAGCAAAACCTAAAATCCTCTATCCTCCCTTTTTTTGGAGAGTCTTCAGCAAGAGAAGATAATATAAAAACCAGCAAAGAACACTTTGTTGTAGCTACCAACACTCACTAAATAGCAGGATAGCACATGGAGAAGGGAAGCAATTAAAGTTGGAGAAAAAGAGTCCAAGTGTACACAGAATCTTGCTGGGAGACATGAGATGATACAAGCTGAGTCAAATTAACTTGTATTCGCTGCCACAGCAAATTTAGTTTCTATGATGCAACAATCTCATTTCTAGTTGAAACAGAGCAATCCAACTCCTACGTCCTAAAAAAACATCTACACAGCTCAAGTCGAATTACTCTTTGATGTACCTCTCCCTTCTCTTGAGACCTAGATTTAGAGAGAAAGGGTTTTGCAAGATCACTGAACTCTTTAAACTTCAAGAGCTGGTCAGGATCAGTAGGGCTGGACAATAATATTTTCTGCTTGTCATCCTTTTCTTTTTTTCTCTTTGAGGTAATTAGTGAGTCTAACAGAAAGCTTTAATCTTGTTCATTGCCTTTGCCAGTGGTCCAAGAGGTCAGAAAGATGGAACTTAGAGAAGCAAATATTGCTCTTGCAGTGTCCAGGTGTTGTAGATGTGGCACTTAGGGATATGGTTTGGTAGTGGCCTTGGCAGTGTTGGGTTAATAGTTGAACCTGATGATCTTAAAGGGTTTTTCCAACCTAAATGACTCAATGATTTTATGATTCTACAGTTTCATCCACACTATGCTGAACACAGGGAGAGCAAAACCAAACCATAGCAAGGAGATTCCAGCTGTACAAGAGCAACTTCAGTAGCCCAAGCTCAGCTCATAACAACCACATTTGCTTAAAAAAACCCTGATGTCAGAGCTGTAACGTGAACCCAAATGTTCCTTTAAGCCCTGCCTGGGTAAACAGCTACTTCTTGCAGCTCAGAATCCCAAATTTAAAGCAAGAACCTGTTTGACTCCTGGCAGCAGCTTCCAGAATCAATCTGAGTACTTTTTGCTCTTGTATTTCTAAAACCATCTCTTAGTTTACACCCCCACATGTTCTGAAAACCTCTGAGAAACCTGTGCCGCTCCCATCTTCCCAGAAACACTCATTAGCCTGTCTAGATACAGACAGAGGTGTGTGGAGCCTCATGTGCAGGGCAAGAAACATGAATATTCTTTCAGGTCAGCTTGGTCAGGAGCTAAACACACATCTTTCCTGGGAGGAACAGTTCCATTCACTTTTGGAACTGCCAGGATGGAGCTTGAATATTATCTGCATAGGGGAAAAAAAATGATTCATCATCTCCAGTATGACCTTATGGCAGAAAGGGGTTTAAAAGGGTTTGGGTTTGGGGTGACTTTTTTGTTATTTTACTGCTTTTTTTGGCCTTTTTTTCTTCCTGGTTGGATTTCTGTTGTCTCACCTATGAGGCTGGCTAAGAGAATTGTGAAATGCTGACATCAGGTGGGCCAAAAGGGTAGAAACTGCACTGCTGGGAGGAGAAAATAGTTTCTCTTTTAGTAAATCACATGTATTTAACTTCCACACCTGTTTTGGTTTTTATTGAAGAAAGTGAGTAGTAAATCTGGATACCAGAATTTCTGTCAAAGTATGTTCAGAAGCTCATGGTGTATCATGAAAGCAGAAATGGACTCAGGTCCATTTATAAAAGATGCTCTTAGAGGAAATCACTGCAGTAAGACACAGTCAAAGAAACTCTCAAAATATCCAAAATCTGCCTGTGAGAGAAAGATCTTCATTCACAAAGCATAAGAATGGAAAGGAAACTTAATGCAGATAAAAGGGAAATTATCATTTTTAAGATTTTTAAAAAGACTATAGAAAACCATTTGTATTTCTCGTGTTCTCTGCTCAGTAATTTACTGGTTGATACAACCAGTTATGATGACAAATATTTTGCAGCCATGAATATGAATAAATAGACAGAGACAACATCAGAGAGTTTCATTCCTTTCAATTCTTATGACACACAGGTGAGGATTTTTTGGAAAACAAGGAATGAATTGTTTTAATGCTTCAGTTTACAGAACCTTCCAGGTGCCACTGCTGAGTTAAAAATAAATGCAAGGCACAGACATGCAGTGATCAGATGTGGAGAAGTGTATCTCATCTCCAGGGCTTGTGATTAAACCCTTTGGTTATGGAATTGGCCAGGACACAAAGTTACACCTCCAGTAAGGTGATAAACTCTTTTGAAGTCTGCCTGGACACTGAACTGGAGCCCTTGTAGCACAGAGAGCTGTGATTAAGTGTTCAATACATTTCTAAGTGATCCAAAATAGATTCTGATAGATTTCCTGTTAGCTCCCAGTTCTAGAATAGAATTCTTGTTCACATTTCATCCTTGTGATTTGCAAGCTCACTCTGAAACACCCAGCAGCCCTCTGACAAACCAACCTTTTTGCTTAGAAGATCAGTTACTATTTTATCTGATCCTTCTCTTCCCACACAACATGACTGTAACATTTTTGTGGCTTCCTTCTAAAGTACAAGTTTCTCATTGCAGAAGGTGTAAACTAAACAGCATTTCTTATAACCTCACCAGTCAAAACAGAAAAAATGTATTTATTTTTTTATTTTTTTTCCCCTTGAAGTTCCATTCTTACATTGGGTTTGTTTTTCCAGACAGCTCCAGATGGCTGGAAAAATTCTGTGCGCCACAATTTATCCTTGAACAAATGCTTCGAGAAAGTTGAAAACAAGTCAGGCAATTCTTCTAGAAAAGGCTGTTTGTGGGCTCTGAATCCAGCCAAGATTGATAAGATGCAGGAGGAGCTTCAGAAATGGAAGAGGAAAGACCCAGTGGCTGTGAGGAAGAGTATGGCAAAGCCAGGTCAGTAACCTCTTAATGTCTTAGTTCTCAAACTCTTCTCCCCAGAACTTTGTAACAGCACCAAGCTGTATATGAGAGAATTGATATGATTTAGGAAAGCATTTAAGGATTTTTTTTCTGGTTATAAAGGTATGGGCAAAACAAGAAAAAGGTTAAAAAGCAGAATTAAATAAGATACATTTTTGTAGGTGTTTCCAAATAAGCATAAAGAAGCTCCACCAAGAATTATAGAATCATAGAATCAACCAGGTTGGAAAAGACATCCAAGATCACCAAGTCCAACCCTACCATGGTTACTAGACCATGGCACTAAGTGCCACATCCAGTCTCATCTTGAAAACCTCCAGGGATAGTGAATCCACCACCTCCCTGGGCAGCCCATTCCAATGTCTGATTAGAAAATACTCTCTCTTGACATCTAAACTGGAAGACCAAAGGTTGGATGGTGCTTGGAGCAACCTGGTCTAGTGGAAGGTGCCCCAGCCCCTGGTAGGGGGGTGGAATGAAATTATCTTTAAGGTCCTTTCCAACCTAAAGCATTCTATTATTCTACAATAAAAACAACACTGAAATAAGTACTATTGAATAACATTTGAAACTGGCTTAGAAGTATCCAATCTTCAAACATAAAATGTCATTTATTATGTACTCAGTTGGCAGTGATAATGCAGAAAAACATTTCAGTCTTCGGATTTCTCATTGTACATTAACCAACCCTTTTCTTTGCGATCACACTCATTCATTTCCTCAATAGCACTA